CTTTCAATATATTATTTTGTGACTTCTTCTAAAATCAGAAAGTAACCAAAATTCTTCAAATTTTAAGAACTTTTCAAAAATGATGCTTAGGAAAAAGAAATGATTTTTATTGCTCTTATCAACGAAAATCTATAAAATTAAATGATTAGTGAGAGAAATAATATTTTATAGATTATATTTGAATATTTTGATAATTTGTTATTTAGTATTTCATTTTTAAAATGGAGAAGCTTTTAGAATGGACGTAATTTTTTTTACAGATGTTGACTTTTAATTCTTCATTTTAAAGAATCTGTTAAAAGAGCTTTAAAATTCTTCAAATTAAAAAAAACCCCTCCAAAAAGAATTACAATAAGAAATGTTATTATATTTAAAAAAAAAACCTTGAAAGTAAATATTTAGATGAAAACAAAATGTTTTATTAAATGTAAGGATTCTTTTAGTAGTATGATTTTCACAAAATGAAGAAGTTGTTCAATTTAAAAAGTGAATTATTTCTATAGATTTTGAATTTTTATTATCTATTTTAAATCATTTTAGAAATTTTGTTAAAAATGTTATTATTCTACAATGAAATAAAACTTTAAGGATTGTCTAAATTTTCATCACCATTTCATCACTTAATTATTTCTCTGTCTGAGGTTTATTCTGTTCGTACACATCTGACCCTTCTTTCTCAACCTTCAATAAATGCCTATCTATAAAGCGTTGAGTTGAAGAGGGAACAAGTCCCACAGAGAGATGATAACTGGAGGAAAGAGAGAGAGAGAGAGAGAGAGAGAGAGAGAGAGAGAGAGAGAGGGGGAGGGGGGGGGGTTTTGAAAAACGCATCATAAAAACAAAACCTAATTGAAATACATTTTTATACATGAAATATAATAAATAAATAAGTGTCTTATACAACTATACATGCATGAAACATGAGTTAATTAGACACAGACATACATACACACGTCTCTCTCTCTCTCTATATATATATATCTATATAGGGGAGCGATCAAATGCAAACCACTCAATTTGTACAAACCGTGCAAACCGCATTCAACCAATCATA